TTGATGCACTACACATTATTTTTTTCCTTTACTTTTTTTCATCAATTTATGTTATTTTGAAAAATCAATTTTGCTTTTTTTTTTCATCAATTTATGTTCTTTTTTTTATTTAATTAGGTGTTAAAATTTTAAAAAATCAATCGTTATTTTTTTTTATACAAACTGACTATTATATAATATATGCGATATTTTTTATATTTATATGATATATAAATATTTTTTTACTTATGTATTCTTTTTATAATTTTCATAAATTTATGTTTTTTTATTTAATTAGGTGTTCTATCTATCCGTAGCGTTATGCGGATATTTTCAAAAATTAACGCTCTCGTCAACATTAAATAAGAATTTTTTCTCATTTGTTAATTTTTATAAAACTCTATCCATTAATGATAACTTTATTTTTTGGAATACAATATTATAAAAATTATATTTAATTTTTTTTTAATTCTCGATTAATATTTTAGTTAAAATTATTATATTTTTTTAATTTCAAAATGAATTCATAAAGAATAATGATCTATGTTTTTTTTAAGTAGAAAATTTATTTAAAAAATTCAAAAAAATTAAGTGAATAAAAAAATTATAAAATTTTAAAGTGATTTTTTTCTATCGAACCCGCAACGTGAGAAGGTGACTAGTACAATCTAAGTTATTAATGAAATATACATGAAAATTATCATACTCTAGGAGTACTGAAGATCTAGCCATTAAGTTACCAATACCCAAAAGGCATAAGAGCATTTTGCTGCAAGATAAAGATATTAAAATTGGATTCATGTTTTTTATTTTTTTATGTTCAAAATGATATACGATTTGAATTTTTTTATTTTATTTGATGATAATGTTATTTTCATTGACTTACACGTCAATTAAAAATAAAGATACATACATACATACATATATATAATAGAACATTTTGCTGCAACTTTTAGCGCGCTTTCCAATGGCAGAAGACGTTTGTGGCTTGCTGTGGCGTATCTGATCGAGGTCTGTCCAAAATTCACTAGAAAGTGGAATGTTCACGGCGATTATCATACAGTATCCAGTCCGACAAATGTGTTAAACGCGTGACCCCGATTTAACCCTATAGGTCAAAATCTAATTGGCATCTATGATTTTTATATTATTTGCATCAATATAAAGTTGATATGGATCGTCATCATAATTAATTTTACTGTTTATTGTTGGAGGAAAACAAAGCATCTTCTTTATTTAATTTTTATAAGGATGAAATACAGTAACTCTTCTAATATAATATATTATGATGGTTGGTGATGGTACGAAAATTAATATTCGACACAAACTCCATTCATTTATATATATATATATATATATTTACTTGTAGTGCTTTCACATGATTGAAATTGCTTTCTTTGACACAAAAATATTTTAGTATAAAAAGAAGCTTATTTGCAATATATTAAAAATATTTTTGTCTCCTCAAATTGAGAATATTCCATGTAATTTTACCATACAAGAAAATAATTGCTGTCAAGTCGTTTATTTTGAAGGAGACACATATGAGTAAAATTTTAAATTACAGTCTCTATAGTGCATCATCCTTCTAGTTTCTTTTCGTTGTAGTTGGCGAGCTTCGATATAGTTTGCTCTCAAATCCACCATAAAAGGATATGATAACAAAAATTTAATCAAAGTGATGATCCAATTTCCATTTTCCATAATGTTTCAAAGAAAATACTGTGATTATGAGATAAATACACTATACATATATCACTTTTTTAATTTTTTTCTTAAGCAAATATATGGATTCGAATTTACGTTTTTTCAATACATCAATTTCAAAACTGCTGATAAAGTATAGTTTGCTCTCAAATCCACCGTAAAAAGGATTTGATAACAAAAATTTAACCAAAGTGATGATCTAATTTCCATTTTCGACCTTGATTTGAAAGAAAATAATGTGATTATGAGATAAATACACTATACATGTATCATTTTTTTAATTTGTTTTTTTTTTCAGTCGAATATATGGTTTTGAATCTACCTTTTTTCAGTCAATAATTTCAAAATTGTTAATAAAATATTTTCATAAAATAATGATATGTTTGTTATTTATAGAATACCGAATTATAATTTTATCTTATTTTTTTTAATCAAGTACATGGACTTTATTTTGTTTGTTTGAATATATCGATCTTTCAAAATTACTAACAAAATACTTCGTTAATTTTTCATTATGATAAAATGTCTATCACCCCTATAATATTAAATTACAAATTTGCCCTCTTTCGGTTGGAAGAAACTTTCTCCTCAAATAATTCTATAATTTCAAATTTTGCTTACTGTCATAGAGATAAAGTTAATCTCATAAAGAATATTTTGGAAGAAAAAAAAATTCTATTTTTACTTTTTTATTTTATTTTATTTTTAATTTTTAGAAAGAATGATCGAATATATCTTCACTTTTCTTTTAGTTTTTTTTTTTCAAATTTTATTTATTTAAATTTGATATAAAAAAACAAGATTGAGACAAAAAAATGGATGGACAATATTAAGACATGAAATTTAGAGTTTATTTATTATAAGTTTCAAATAATGCATACATTTAAAAAAATCACATGTAGATTTTTTTTTTTTATCATTTCTTAATTCAATTTTAGAAAAAAAATTATAAATTGACTTATATACCTTTTTAAGAGTTGGTGTTATGATATTTGTCATCATTCTATTTTTGCTACCATGTGGACAAAAAATAAAAATTATTTGTTATTTGTTTATTTTAGTTATCATACTTCCTACCTTGTTCAATATAAACTTTTATTAAGATTATTTGATTTTGTATTTTTGAATTGTGTGGTATTTTGAATTTTTTTACAAAATTGATAAATGAAATATTATCTTAATATTTTTTTATTATACATATAGTAGTTGAAATTATTTTATATTCGAGCAATGTATGAAATGCGAGTAAGCATAAATTTTATATAAAAACCAAGATAAATTTGATAGAGCACCGAATCATATCCGAGTTCGTTAGGATCCGAATCAAATTTTACATTTTCAAAACCCGATCTAAATTTATAAAATTCAATCAAATCCGTTTCAATAAATAAATTAGATCTAGATCTATTATGATTTGATCTGTTGACGAGTCCTAGTCATAAGGACATAAACTAATTGATACAAATAAAATATTTTAATTTATATAATCAATAATTTAAATTGTAGATTAGAATGTTATTCAATCATGAAAGTGAATAAACTAAAACATTCAGTTCTAATCAATCAACATAAACCTCTACTAAATTATGAAAAATAAATCCACTCATTATAGGAAAACATTTAATTTCCATCAATTAACTTAAATTTTAAGTCATATGTTAGTTTTTTTTTTTTTTTTATGAAAAAGAATTTTGCATCATTAAAGCCGAAACTAACAACCACTATTGATTAATGACTGTAGCTCGACGATCACCGTCATTTAATAACAACGAAGAGAGGTACGAAAGAGTAATTGCAGGGTTCCCAGATGAGAATCGGATTGCCTTTGAAGTCAAAATCTTAATTACAAAACCCTTGCTTATTGTTCAAATTGACATTATTGTCAGCTTTTGTATTATTCCTCACTCAAGATCCAAACAAATAACAGTATCCCCACAATCTTACCTTTTGTCTTAAAGCGTAGGAAAAAAAAAGCAAGAAGGCGAAACGACATGGCATGAGTTGGTGAGCTAAAATAGGTCGTGTCAAAGGTGTAAAAAAAAAGAAATCGCTACGCCGTCACCGACGTTTGGCATGAGATTGGATGAAACTGTACCGTTACTGTCATGACAATTGACAAGTTAGACGAGACAATTTTTTTTTATTATTATTTTTTCTGTTTTGTGTTATGCTACATTTTTATAATTGAATTTGTGCTGCCCTAATGCTACGCATCAAGTACAATCTGAGTTATTAATGAAATATGCATGAAAATTATCATACTCTAAGTGTATTGAAGATCTAGCCATTTAGTTACAAATATCCAAGAGGCATAAGAACATTTAGTTACAACTGCCCGATGACTCAAAACAGAAGCCAATTACTTAAGTGATTAGAATTTTTTTCGCTCCAACCGATCCTCTATGGTAAGATTACAAACTTGTTATTAGCTTTGAAGTTGATGGTATAAATTTACTGAACATAATCTAACAGGAGAGAGGAATATAAGAATATCTAATTTCCCAGCACTGGTCAATCGATCAACGAACGATCAAATTAGGCTGATTGGGCTTCTCAGATGGGACCCAACCTCATGTGTTCTTAGAGCAAATTTCTCTTAATGTGTTTATAATTTAGGCCTTTTAGCCTCTATACTTTTGGACCTATATATGGACACCCACTGACTCAATACATCACTAACACAAAGGTGAAAAGCTAGCAATAGAATGGATGCTTGGCTACAATGCATGCATGACTAGCAAACATGCGTGTAAAGCTAATAATTGGTTTCCTATTTCCAAAAACAAAACATGGCTCAAAAGCTGTAAGACATACCAACAACGAACACCACAAAACACCACCTCAATTAACAATTATTAGTAGAGTGATTTCACTGCTAGCATGTCCAAAATGAGAAGCTCTAGTTGTTGAACACCCTTGAAAAAAAGACACCAAAATGACAAAGCAAAGAGGTAATAATCACTCAAGAACAAAGAATTGATAATTGAAGAGGGTTTTTTTATATACACAAGCCTCCTTAAAATCACTCAAAAGCTTCACATTCTCTAGACTAAATTTGTGCCCTACACTCAAAACCTTTTGTGTTCAATTTCTACAGTTGAAATCAACAAGAATTGGGGAACAAAAATTAAAGAAAATAAACAAAACTTAGAGAACAAGTTTGCTTGTAGACACAATGGCCAATCACATATTTCTATTGTACTTGTTTTTCATGAAACCATGCAGGAATTTTTGGTCGTTTTGAATGAGTCCTCCAGGCTCCATTGTTGCTGGCATTTAAATCAGCGTTTGAAGGATCACCTGCTGGCCCAAGTTCAAGATTCATCTTCCGCAAGATGCACATTGTACCCGTGCTTTATACCTGTATCAAATCAGGTACTGAATAATGAACAAACACATTCAAATTCATTACAAACCACAACAAGAATTTACTAGAAATATCAAATTGTACCTTTTAATGTTGCTTTATCATATTTATCTTTCCTCTCATCTTCATTCTTCCATTCACTATCGTCATCGTCGTCATCCATTTCAGCCCTCCCATCATTTCCTATGTCACTTTCACTTGCTGTTTCCCATTCTGAACCATCACTTTCCTGCCCATAGATGTCACGAGCATCACCATCACCGTGGACACCCCCATGTTTTAAGGCTGCCTCTCTAAATAACCAGGCTGCACGCATCTGCTTTTTGACTAGTCGTTCAGCATAGTCAGGAACTCTGTTTTGCCTCAAAGAGAGGTCAGGATCATTTGACTGAGAGCATTCATTAATGAACAGAATGGCATCTAGCAAGCTCTCTTTAGCTAAGCCGAGCATGTCATAAGCCTGAGCTCTTCTCCAGAGGCTTTTGGCATGACGATTAAGAGGGTTGTGAAGACACAGTGCATGTGTAGCATCGCTTATTGCTGCCAATGGCTGTTGTAACAGAAGATGACACTGAGCTCGATTACTGTGCAGAACGACTCTCTCTTTTTTGGATCTTATTGGACACAATGACAAAGCTTCTGAGTATTTTGAAGCAGCTCCAGCTATGTTTCCTGATGAGAATAGGGAATTTCCTTCAAGCTTGACCACTAGCGCAGCTGCCTGCTTAATATGGAGATCCTCTTTGGGCATGTTCTTTTCCCATTTCAATCTTTGTTTGGAATTCAATACTTCCTCAATCAGTTCCTTTGCACGGTTATTGATAGTGTTACGCCCTGTCCCTTGTGATTGTAGGCACTCCTGAAGAACATTAACAATGGAGTCCCCAAGCTTTTTGTGATCCCCAAGATTTGTAATCTCTGCGAGGTCTACAAGTGCAGGTACTGCCTTATCAATGACCTATTAACAGGTCAAGAAAAATTAAGAAAGAAATAGCACACTTCGTAATTACAAGTATAAAACATATTGCAACAAAAGAAAAAAGTAAACAGGACAACAGAGACATTGTATCACATTTCTGAAATGTATTTCCATGTAACAATTTAAGCAGGATAATTTGCAGATTTACATTAAAAGAAAACACCATGAGATTTTCATTAAAAAAATCCATATAAACAAAGCTGTTGCTCAATGTATCTCAGTTAATGGGAACATGCATTATTATTTGGAACACACTGTGATAGTTCACATTTAAGCAGAAAATCCGATAATTAAAGTTGAAAATAATACAAAAGGCTATGTGGACACGTTCCCTGGTTAATAAAATCGTGGAAAATGAAATGGTTTGATTGTTACCACACAGGCACATGCCAATGAAGAGAACTTGCCATTCGAAACCCTTGATGCAAGGAGTTATTAGGATCTTCCACAGCATCTTCTCATTTAATAGGTTGTTAAGGCTCCAAACTTTTCCTCAATAGGAAATAATTTTCTTTTCAGTTTTGTTTTACTTTGACAAAGAAAATTCATTACAGATGCAAAGGGACACAACCCAAGAACTGGATATGCAACAAGAGAAACCCCAAGAAGTGAAAAGAGTAAAAAATTAAGATGTTAAGAATCAATAAAATGCATAGAAGAGAAAAGTATAGGGAGCTGGAAAACCATTCAAACAACAACAACCAAGTCTCAGTCCCAAATTAGTAGGGGGTTGGCTATGTGGATTATGAAAGTTAAAATATGCGCAAGCTTATGCAGCTCATAGCCCAAGAGATGAAGCCTCCATCCCTTAAAAAAATTTAACTATCCCAATCTAACTATATGCTACCAACAGAGCAATAAAACATCCTTTTCAGAGATGGTAAAAAAAATGTGTCTGTAACTAGAAATAACAAAAAAAAAAACAAAAAAAGCATGTGCGGACCAAGGATGTGATTATTCAGCCTAACGAAATCTTAAGACAATATGTTAGTCACCATAGTCCATTGCATTTGCAAGATAAATTTCAATGCGCAATATTGGTATGCAAAAAGAAAAGATATCGCTTGCATCACCAAAGTCAAAAACAAATTAATAGATATTCAATTTACCTTATGGCACGTACTTGGATCTTGGATCAACCAAAGAAGACAGTCTATAGCCATATACTGCCAATCATCTGATGACCTAGCTATATTACACAAAGCCTCAATAATACCAGGACAGCTGGCAACAGGCACCCTACCAAGCTTATGATGACAAATTGTTCTCAATAAACCAATACCAGCAGGCGAGTTTTCATTAACAAGTCCACCCCACATGCCTGGCAGTTTTACCAAGAATTCAGGCTTGCATATCGTAGGAAGAAATTCGGGCTTGAACGCAAAGCAATTAATGAGTTGAAGTGACCAGCACTGTAATTGACTAGCCCATTCTTCTGCTTTCCTAGACTCCATTTCAACACCACCCATGCCACGGGTAAGCAAGTCACAGTGGTAACTGAGTCTTCTATCAACATATTGGTAAAAATGTGAGTAAACTATTTCTAGTGAACTCATTGCTAGTTGGATGGAGAGTTCCAGAATTTCACCATGATTTGCCACGGCAGGAAAAGTTTTGGTGTATGTGGCCAAGTGTCCTAATGCTCGAACTGCCACTCTTTGTTCAACCCATGTCAACCTCCCCCTCAAAAGCTCAACCAAGGGAGCAATTACACCAGCATGGACAGCACTTTCTGCAAACTCTTCCATGTTCATAGTGTAGGATCCAATAATATGAGCTGCATAGTAAGGAATGTATATATTTTGGTCATGAGAAAGCCAGCGGCGGTTCTTTAAGCCCTTCCATATAAGAGCAGCCATGCATTCAAATATTCCCAATTCAATGAACTCAGGGTCATTTGGATGTGCCATAGCAGTGTTCCAAAGTCCACTGATTGGAAGAACCTGGCCATCATCATCCTGAGAAGGAAGTTCTCTGAAGAATTTCAATATACTTGCTCTGCGCTTACTTGGATTTCCTTCCTTCATGACACAAAAAAAGCATCCTGGATATGGACAGTCGGGAGATCCTTTATCCATTTTCAGACAACCAGCTACTCTGAATTCATAAACTGCCAAGTGAATTCGTTATTGACCATGATGATTCATATAAATAAATTCTACACTACATAACATCCAATAATGACACACATTAGTTCATGAAATTTCGAGATGGGACCATATGAGCATGGTCACTTCCATTTTTCCTAAGAGAGCTTCCTCTAGTGTGTATGCACAGGAATTGCTAGTCAAGATCAAAATGGTTATACATAGAAGTAACACAAAAATCTACTGAAGTAACTAGGACCTTTGCCATCATATCCAAATTCAATCCAATTCCGAAAATCCAAAATATCAGTTCCTGCCACACTATTGAAAATGGCTGCCTCCTCCCCCTTAAAAAAGAAGAAAGAAAGAAAGAAACTCCTATTTGCTATACAAGTTCTCATTTTGAGCCTTGACTTAATTAGCTCTTGAGTACTTAAAGCAATTCGTTTAGCTGTTTGAGTCAATTACGATGGAGTCAGTCATTCTCCATTTGACTGGTTGGCAACAAGAAAAATATGTGAATGAAACAAACCATTAATTATTAAAGTTCTCCAAGAATATATTTAATAGTATAAGAAAAACTCTTAAGCATAAAAAAACACAACCATGACAATCTCTTTTCACATAATGCACAAGCCCAACCAAAAAACCAATTGGATCTACAAGAACAAAACTTTAACACACAAAATTCAACATAAACACCAAAAACGTAAAAACCAAGTCTTTAAATAAGATCCAAACCCAAATAATGTCCCAATCACATAGACAGAGAGACTACAAAAGAGTCCCCCCACCCCACCCCACACCACAAAACAAATACACACCGTAGCAAAAAATGACGCACCTTTGAGGGAGGGTTCCTTAAAGAGAGAAGCAAGGAGAACAACAAAAATCAACTAGCAGTGAAATTTTAAGCCCAAAAAAGAAGAAAATAGTGCTTTTCTTGTGTGTTGTTTGAAAGCCAGATTAACTAAGACCTGCTTTTCTGTGTTCACTCTTGTTACAGAATGAGAAATGGTAGGAGAGAGAGAAAGGGAGAGAGAGAGAGAGTAGGGAAGTGGAGTTTTAGGAAATAGCGATGGTGTTTTTGGAATTGTATGATTCTGACAGCGGAGAGAGAGAGGATCTTCTTGTATGAAAACAGTACACTCTCTCTAGCGCTACTATGTCTTTGAAGCGGTAGTCCTGTCTTAATGCAATATAAGATATATATGAAAAGAAAATCCCTTTTTTTCTCCCAACTTACATTTCTTTGCTCCCCCTCGGCCACTCGCATGCATCTTCTTTCACTTACTCTATGTATCTTTTTAATTTTTCGGTTCTATGTTTTAGATATTCTCCTGCCAGTCAGATTTAGTGTTGAAGTTAAATCTATTTTTTCTATCTAAAGATAAAACAAACCATTTAAGCAAAAAAAAAAAAATTACAAAAAAAATGAGAAAATTTTATTCTAATATCACAATTATATAATATTGTTCTTTGTTTTGATATAAAAATTAAGTTTGTAGTTTTAACATTGTCAAAGTTACATTATTAATATATGGTTAAAAGAATTTGCTACCATTTTGCTTCTTTTTTTTTTTTTAATGGTATAATACAAGATAAATAGAGATGAATTTGTTGGATGACATTAGAATTGAGTTTGAGAATGCTGATAGTACTTGCAACTCTTTGAGAATATTAAATTTTTTAATCAAATTCTTTTTATCATCATATCTCATCAAACAAAATGAAATAAAAGTTTTTCATTTTTATTAGATGTCAATATCAATATGTAAATATATTTACTCTCAAATAGTACAACGTTAAGTGATTTTACATGTATGTCTTTTTATTTTCAAAATAGTCTTTTGTTTATTATGTTTGGAATATTTTTTCAATCGGCCATTTTGGCAATTTTGTTTCTAAAATGTATTTATATGGTAACGTATTTTGATATTTCAAAAACATCAACAATTTTTATATATAAAAGCAAATTATTCGAGACTGCGCGTGGCGATGTGGACACTGGGATGCAAAGGTTAGGAGGATGGGCCAGGCATAATGGCACCAACTATAACACCGTTGCCTTTGTTTTTTTTTTTTTTTTTGGTTTTGGTCCCATTTTCTTACACGCCTGCCTTTCTGGTCTTATGAGTCCCTCTTTACCGTTTTTTGAACTGCAGAAAACTTGAAATCCCACAAATGCCCCTATTTATTCCGTGCTATAAGGTCATATCGCACGCAGGATTTCTTTTCATTTTCTTTTTTAAATAATGGTTTTGCAAGTCTTCTCTGAAAAGAAAGAAAGAAAGAAAAAAGAAAAGAAAAGGACAATAGTGATGCTAGCAAAGCAATTAGTTTACTAAATATTTTCGCGACTTTAAATTCTTTTATACTTTAATTATTAATATATGTTACGTTCAGAAATTTGTTGTATGAAATAACTTACTTTTATTTCGTTTGTAAAAAAAAAAAAAAATTGTAAGGGTCTAGGAAACTATAATATTACTGAGATTTCAAAGTTATGCTCATCTGCGGAGACAGCTTTGTATTGGATAGTAGAGTAAGAAAGGATAGCTACTAATTTGTGGAGTAAATTATAAATTAATCCCTCTAGTTTCAAGAGATAAATTAAGTAGTCCTTGTTGTTTCAAAATTTACTACTTAATTATTTGATTAGTATTGATTGTGTTTAATTTAATATTATTTTTATTTCACAAAATTTCTTTTTTTCCTTCATCGATCTTTTCATATTTTTTCCATAACTCAAAACAAATTTAAAAGAAAAATAATTAAGTTACGGGTAGATTTTAAAAAATGAGGATTAAATTATTAGTTTTTAAAATGACAGGAGTTAATTAATTCATTTTTCAAAACAAGAGTGATTAATTTATAATTCACTCTAATTTTGTGGTGGATAATAGTAAGAAAGGATGTTTCGTAAAAATATTGTGTTGTTCTCTTTAAAAATAAAAAACATAAAATTATTGCTCTTGTTCTAGGAACCAAATTTGAATGATAAAAAACCGAAAAAAGAAAAAAACGAGAGATCGAAAGAATAGGATATTATGATGGTTAGGATCTTATGATTCACAATTCAAATTTTACTATTTGAATTATTTTATATGTAAAACGACATGAAAGTAAGATGAATCTTAAACATATATGAATTTTATGATTCGAGTTACAATTCAATTCAATTGAGCACAATTAAATAAATTTTATGAGTCGGTTCGGATATAAAATGAAAGTAAAATTTACCATTTTAAAAGAGATTGTAATAGACATGAAGGATTGGTCTAGAATTCATGGATGATAACAATGTATGAGCATTTTTTGTTTTCCTCTTGTTTAACCTTTGTATTATTTGAATTTTTTTATTTAAGATAGTTTATTTTTTTATTTTTTAAAATTTTTTATTGTTTATTTTTTATTTTTTTATTAAAACTATCAGATCGATATGTTAAATTGTAAATTAAAAAATCTCCAAAAGCGTTGGATCAAATTCCCACAAATAAAGAAAAGGGGGAAAGAAAGCAAAAATTTTGAACACAATAAGAATGATAAAGGTAATATACATCGGTATTGAGAAAAATTATTATGTTTTATTAAAACTGGCAAATCTAGTAGTTTACCTAGTAAGAAACTAGCTTTAGATATATTATGAGTCATTGAGTTGTTAGAATGATCAAGTGCCAATGAACAACAAATTGAATTTTTGAGACTCCAGGTCATTTAATGACTAATAACTAACATATTAAATAAATTGGGGGGCATTTTGTTTTGAAATGATATATATATATATATTTCAAGATATTCTAAGCCTAAAGATCTAGGTTAGATTTTTTTATTGCTTTGTCGAGTACGCAAAATAGAGATACACATCCGAAACTATTTATTTATACAACCAGAGTTCTTTCCACTTAGGTAAACTTTTTTTTGATAATCATTTCTTTTTTATTCGAAAAATATTTAGTATTTATTTATTTACTATTTATTACAGTGTCATTTTCATTTGTTATTGAATCTAAAACCATCTAGAATATTATTTCATGTTTTATTATTTTATTTTTCTTTATGATTGACAATTTTTTTTTAAGAGAGTAAAATGGTTTGCCTAATTTGCGAGGAAGATATTCTTTTCGTTCTTTCTTTTTCAGGGTAAAGAGTTTCCGACAATACGTTAATGACTACTAATCAGTAATCATGGTGAGGTTCAAAGTTCATCGAACCTTGCCGCAGTACTTAAAAAGCTTAATTATGTTATTTTTGTGCTTTATTTGGTAGGCTTACACTGAGAAAGGGAAGTAAATCCAAGTGTCAATTCCTTGCCAAACATTATAAAACGTTCATTTACAAATTGTAATACTGATATTATTTAACAGCAGCGAAAGTATCGGTGAATTAGGTATTAGCAAACCTTAGCTAGGTTTTGTATTGGTGTTTTATTCATTATTTTGTGAAATGAAAAACTATGTAATAAGTACATCAAATTTAATTTTTTTTTATTACATCAATTTTTATTTATTATTTTTTTGTTTTAGTATATCAATTTTTTTAAAATATTAATTAAGTTTTTTTGTTTAATTTTTTGTGAAGTGATAATATAACGGCTAACGAGAAAAAACTAAATGATTATATATTTTTGGTTTAGAAGAGAGAATGTGAGTGGGAAAAGGAGAGAAATAAGACATACAAAAAATTAATAATTTAGAAAAAAAATAATTAATCTAATACAAAACTGATAAAAAAAACTAAGTTAATGACACAATTAAAACGTTAAGAATTAAATTATTTATTTTTAAAACAAAAGATTCACATTAATTTGTTTTTCAAAACAAGGGAACTTATAATTTAGTTGTTTCTTGCGGTCTATTAATATTATATTAATTGGTCATTGGTTGAAACAACATTATTTGTCAATTTATAAGATAATTTTGAAATACACAATATATTGTTATTTTTCCTTTTCTTTTTGGACGTTGCATTTGTATCCATGAAAAAAAATA